AGATATTGACAGAGCAATAAATAGACACTGTACCTGATATGGGAGTCTAAGCACCATCTCTGTGAGAAGCTGAGGGTAAGACTCAAACACATCTCCTGCATGACCCTTTAAGTAAATGAAGAACAAAAAGGTATTATATTTGGAACGAGTGTACTACATTTCATTATATATTTATTATTTGTACCTTGACATATTGTCTGAGAAAGAATGGAGACATGTCAGGAGGAGTGCTTGTTGGYTGAGGCTTGAGTAAMGATCCACTTACRCTGACAGAATCTTCCTACAATAATTAAAGAAAAAGAACAAAATGAGATCAAGATGAAAGTAAAAAAGGCCTTGAATGAAAAGAATGAATGGGTTAATAATATAGAAAAGGCTGAAAGAAAAAGTGAGGGAGGAAGAGAAGAAAAGAAGAAAGTAAAGTAAGAAAGATGGGAAGGAATGAAAAAAGAGAGGGAAGTGGAAGTCGGAAAAGGGGAATAGAGGAAATGAAGAATTGAAGGAGGATCAAATAAATGAATGACAGAGAAAAGAAGAAGGGACAAGGAAAAACAAACCTCATCCTTCTTAGCCATCTTCTGCCAGTGAKTGAGCAGACACTTTAGGACTTCCTGACAGTATTCTACTATCCCTACCCCACATAGGACATTGGCAGTCTTACTACAGACCATGGAAGAAGCCTGAAAAAATATAAATTTTACATATTAATTGAGAATTGTGAATCAATGACAAGATATTATCAACTAAACATTCATTCAAGAACAACTATTTGAATCATTGGAATAATAAAAATTTACCTCTGTAGAAGCCTTGGCTGAGCTTTTTGTCTTTGACATGAGAACACTAAGGAATCTCATGATGATTAACTGGACTTCATGGTGTTTGGTGCGGTTGGACATTTCCTGGTAATTCTACATAAAACAAATTATATTGATCTTAATGATATTGTCACCTGTGAAACTATTTCAAACAACGTTTGTGCAGAAAAGTTGTTATATATAACATTCACCTTTTTGTCTAGCTCCAATTCTGCCAAACACTTTTCAAGGACTCTCTCAAGAGCAGCAATGTCTTTGTCATTATTCTCCAGGTCAGAGCACAACATTAACAGAACCTAGAGAAAAAATGGATATAAATAAGGTGATAAAAGCAATA